ATCTATGTGCATACATGTATGTGTGTATATGTTTGTTCGTGTGTACGTCTTCACATGTATATGTGTTTTTGTCTATATCTATATATATATACACACACACAGACGATTGCTTTCTATGTTCGTGTGTACATGTGTGTGTATATATATATATGCTAAGGTGTAGCATAACACATTACATGGCATCCATGCACACTTTATATGTATACCGACATACACATATAATGTATACACACTCCCATAGTACGTTGATGTCGACCTCAAGCCCACGCATTAATGACGTAGAATCACCGCATGATGATGCCGGTGTATAGAGATGCCTTTCTTATTGTAAGCCTTATATTCTATACTCAATATATCGGGATATGGGGTGACACATCATGTAATACACGTGTGATCCCATAGTCGGGAATGACGAATCTCTAATAATCGTCGCATTTGTGTTCGTGCTGTGGTAGAATCTTGCATGCGAATACATCTCAGGAACGCGGCAACCCCACTGTGACTGGCAAGCCGAAGGACGTGAAGGACACTCAGTGCCCTTGGCTGCTGTAAGGTTCAATGGCTAAACACTATGTCATTATGCTGTTTCATTCAGGTTAGGCTTGCTGGGTACACCTGATTATCGTATATTCAACACTCAGGGGTTTTTCTCTTGCCATGTAGCTAGGGTCCAGCATACAAAGGGTTGGGCAGCTAGATCAACTGCTTTGATATCTCCAAACTCCAAGCCTTAGCACCATAAGTACGTGCTTCATTCATGGACGAACTCGTTGTACAAGGCACTGCGACCTGCTTCCAAGTGGACTTTACGCCTATAATCCTCTATGTAAGTTTGTTATGTTCCGTAATTCAGAAAGAGTTCAAGTCCGCAATTTGCGACCCGGAAACCGAAACTTCAAGTATCAAGCCTTCTGCGACGATCAACCGGCATATGTTTCGCCCATGAATATTACGCACTTCCTCGATCTAGAATTGACGTTGAGATAACCTGATCAATAAAGTTCCCGACACATCGATGGTTGTATTTCAGCCGGATCCCTTCACTTGCAAACCGCACAATCACATCTGTTTTATTCGATGACTAATTGTTCTGGTCCCAGGCCGGGTTATATATCGCCGGTTGCGCTGGGATGTTGGTCTGCCGCTTTGTAGAAGTTTCTCGATTATGTTTGAGGAACCGGTAGGACAGAATCATGGACTTTATACGATTAAACTGATGCTGGGCTTTTCGTTAGGGTACGGTTTGCTGCAGCTTCGGTGTCCGTTGGCGAGTATTTCTGCATATATAGCAGGAGTTCGGGCTTCGGTGTCACGCGGATAGGACTGTGATGGGGTTTCCTCTATATATGAGCGCCATATAGTGTCCTGTATATCCTCTATATACGTACTCCAATAAAGCCTGAACCTTGAACCTACAGGTTGTAGTTTTCTTTCAACCTGAAGCAATATAATATAGACTTTAACATCCATCCGCACTTGGGGATGTTCTTCAACTTTGCCCTCCCAAATGATAGTTGGAGAGATAAGTTTGTTATAACTTGACCCATGCAATAGTTATTCCGCTTTATTGTGCTGTCAACTATATACCCCTACACCCCCAAGCCCGTACTAATGTACTGAGTACACGAATACACCCAGTCTGGAGCCCCGAAGCCGACACCTTGCTGACTGCTCGTCTGATAAAAGCCCCGCTGTATCTATCTGTTCGTCTTTGATATCTGACTATATATAGATATATATAGATATATATATATATATATATATATATGCAACTAACCATTTATCTCCCAAAGGCTCCATGTACCTTTGTAGTAGATACTTAAGCCCCAAAGTACTCCCTATATAGATACTTTAAGGCCTAAGTATCAATCTACTATAAGGGTACATGGAGCCTTAGGGTCTATTCATAAAAATAATCACAAAATAATGTCCCTGATATATATATATACATATGTATACATATACACTCATTTTATTAGAGCCCATCCATCCATCCAAATCTGGACGTCGCCTGGCCCTGGCTGCTGGCGATGAATCAGCCATCGTCGGCTCCACTCGATCGTTGCATCTTTGGAGGTTTACAATTCTACACTGGATTCCAGATTCTGCTTGATCAGGGTTTGTATCGTATCCCATAGATTATGGTAGAAGCCAGAAAGTTGGAACATTAGTATCCTCATGCCCTTAAGGTAAAGGAAACGGGCACTAATCCTCCTAAACTCATGTTCCAACTTTCTGGCTTCTACTGTAATCTAGCTAGCTAAACCTGAGTTTTGACGGAGACATCGCATTGAGGCTGTTTCGATGATCCTAGAGGCCTGAGAACAGTTCACAGAGAGGAACCCATTCAGAAAAAAAGAAAAACAGGAATCCTGTGCTGGATGCCACGAGCAATCGTGGCCACACGTGTTCGCTGCCGCTGACGACAACACGTACGACTTGAAGGCACAAATTACCTTGCTGTTTGCGGAGCCCATCGATTGGCAGGAGGACGTACTTAGGCGGCACTGAGAGAAACAAACCATCTCGGTACGTCTCCTGCCATTGCATGAGCTCAGGCATCGCTGCTACAGGTGGTGCACTTTATGCTGAATAGTGGAAAGCTAAGGCTGCCGAAGGTCTGGCCGAGCGATTTTGCCTAGGGCATCGCAAAGGTTTGTAGCCCAGCAACCTGGGGAAAGGCAATGCTGGGTTGTGCTTGCCGGGCGATGTCACGAAATGCAAATGTGGACTTCAAGAACAACAGCGTGCAACATACAAACATCATCAAATAGCATCTCATGATTCTGTGTGTGTGTTGGATCGACATCGCAAGGGCACAAAACCCTTTGTCGAAAACCTGTGAAAAAGCTGTCGAAAACAAGGGAAAATGCGTAGAATCTGTGAACTCAACATTTAGGACCCAAAACCTAAAAGTATGTTGCAAATAACATCCGAGTAACGTTTGATCACCATCATTATGCTGAAAACACACTTGTCGAAAACCTGTGAAAAAGCTGTCGAAAACAAGGGAAAATGCGTAGAATCTGTGAACTCAACACGTAGGACCCAAAACCTGAAAAGTATGTTGCAAATAACATCCGAGTAACGTTTGATCACCATCATTATGCTGAAAACACACTTGTCGAAAACATGTGAAAAACATGTGAAAAACAAGGGAAAATGCGTAGAATCTGTGAACTCAACACGTAGGACCCAAAACCCTGAAAATCGTGTTCGCGATGGCATCCGATGTGCTTCGGAGCTTGTGAGATTCGTTCAGCATTGGTTCGCGATGGATCAGTCATCCTTGTTTCTTGTGCTGCTTGTGTGGAAATCAAGCATTGCAGTCTGTAGTGACGGCTTTGAGATTCGCAATTCGATGATGGGGAAACCCAAACCTGCCGGCAAACCGCCGGCTGTGCTCCCGGCGGCTGCAGCTTCCGATGCTTGCTATGTATACACACACACTATTGCTTGTGTGTTGGTATGTTCTCCTATATACATATCTATATGTATGCAAACAAATCCGAGGAAGTGACTTCCTCGATCGATGCTTTGCTGCTGGGTCAGATTGGGCTTTCTGCAGAGCAACAGGAGATGGTGCGGCAGAAGATGCCATTCGGCGTCACTACCATCCTCCCCATCCTCTCTCCTCTCCTCTCCTCTCCTCTCCTCTCCTGTCCTCCTACTCTATAACAGTAATAATACATAAATAAATATAAATATATATATATATATATATATACACACACACACACTATAAGCACGGGGGTTGCTCTTTCCACGGCACACATAAAAATAGCACACGCGGGGGCGGGTGGGTAGGTGTTGGGCACAAAAACACACCGCAAAAAATTCGCGAGCGCTACCGCGGGGGGGGCCTACCTCCTTGGAATATTCGGAACACACGTGCCTGGGCACAAAAACACACCGCAAAAAATTCGCGAGCGCTACCGCGGGGGGGGCCTACCCCCTTGGAATAATCGGAACACACGTGCCTGGGCACAAGAACACACCACAGAAAATTCGCGAGCGCTACCGCGGGGGGGGCCTACCCCCTTGGAATAATCGGAACACACGTGCCTGGGCACAAGAACACACAACAGAAAATTCGCGAGCGCTACCGCGGGGGGGGCCTACCCCCTTGGAATAATCGGAACACACGTGCCTGGGCACAGAAAACACACCGCAAAAAATTCGCGAGCGCTACCGCGGGGGGGGCCTACCCCCTTGGAATATTCGGAACACACGTGCCTGGGCACAAAAACACACCGCAAAAAATTCGCGAGCGCTACCGCGGGGGGGGCCTACCCCCTTGGAATAATCGGAACACACGTGCCTGGGCACAAGAACACACAACAGAAAATTCGCGAGCGCTACCGCGGGGGGGGCCTACCCCCTTGGAATAATCGGAACACACGTGCCTGGGCACAAAACCGCACCACAGAAAATTCGCGAGCGCTACCGCGGGGGGGGGGGGGCTACCCCCTTGGAATCATCGGAACACACGAGCCTGGGCACAAAAAAACAACACCGCAGAAATTTCGCGAGCGCTACCGCGTTGCATGGAAAAGACCACTGACATATGTAGGAGGGGAAGCGGCGAGGCTGGTCACAACGCACACCACAAAAAATCGCAAGCGCTATCGCAGGGGACAGGCTGGGTGTGCCTGCGGGCACAAAACACAAACACAAAAGCGAGCGCAACCCGCAGCTCGGGGGGACTACATATTAAGCGACAGGTGGGTGCCGGAGGCTACTTATTGTCATACTGCCATGGGAAAGGGACAGCAGGTACATAAGAATGCAGCCGCGGATTGAGCTTCCCTTTGTGGTATTTGCCGGATCAATATTGATATACCTATGTAAACATATATATGTCATATATAATATATGTGTGTATATACATATATATATATATATATGTATAGAGAGATTATTTCTCAATGAATTAATTAAGAAGTTCTGGATAGCCTTAGATTATAGTATATAGTCTTGCTGATTATACAAGGTCAACGATGCTGCAGCCACGTGATGGTGCTGTTCCACAGCTGAACCTTCCAGCAGGTGGACCGCAGCAGCACCAGCTGGCAGCTCCTAGTGCAGTTCCCCCGCAGAACCTTCCGCCAAGTGGACCGCAGCAGCAGGTGGCAGCTCCCAGCAGTGCAGTTCCCCCGCAGAACCTTCCGCCAAGTGGACCGCAGCAGCAGGTGGCAGCTCCGCCTAGTGCAGTTCAGCAGAACCTTGCGCCGAGTGGACCGCAGCAGCAGGTGACAGCTCCTAGTGCAGTTCAGCAGAACCTTGCGCCGAGTGGACCGCAGCAGCAGGTGACAGCTCCGTGTGCAGTTCCGCCGCAGAACCTTCCGGCAAGTGGAGCGCAGCAGCAGCAGGTGGCAGTGGCAGCTCCTGGTGCAGTTCCGCCGCAGAACCTTCCGGCAAGTGGACCGCAGCAGCAGGTGACAACTCCTAGTGCAGTTCCGCAGAACCTTCTGGCGAGTGGCCCCCCGCAGCAGGTGGCAGCTCCTAGTGCAGTTCCGCCGCAGAACCTTCCGGCAAGTGGAGAGCAGCAGCAGCAGGTGGCAGCTCTTAGTGCAGTTCCGCAGCAGAACCTTCCGGCAAGTGGCCCCCCGCAGCAGGTGGCAGCTCCCAGTAGTGCAGTTCCGCCGCAGAACTTTCAGGCAAGTGGACCGCAACAGCAGGTGGCAGCTCCGCCCAGTCCAGCTCAGCAGAACCTTCCTCCAGCAAGTGGACCGCAGCACGTGGCTCCGGGTGCAGTTCCGCAGAACCTTCCAGGTGGACCGCAGCAGGTAGCAACTCCTTGTGCAGCTCCCCAGCAGAACCTTCCGCCAGCAGCAGGTGGACCGCAGCAGGCGGCAGCTCCGTGCGCAGTTCCCCAGCAGAACCTTCCGCCACAGCAGGTGACAGCTCCAAGTGCAGTTCCGCAGCAGAACCTTCCGGCAAGTGGACCGCAGCAGGTGGCAGCTCCTTGTGCAGTTCCGCAGCAGAACCTTCTCCTGGCAAGTGTACCACAGCAGCAGGTGATGACAGCTCCAGGTGCAGTTCCGCAGCAGAACCTTCCAGCAGGTGCGCAGCAGGTGGCAGCTGCAAGTGCAGTTCCCTGGCAGCAGAACCTTCCGGCAAGTGGCCCCCCGCAGCAGACGGCAGCTCCAAGTGCAGTTCCCCCGCAGCAGAACCTTCCGGCAAGTGGCCCCCCTCAGCAGCAGGTGCCAGCTCCAAGTGCAGTGCCCCCGCAGAACCTTCCGGCAAGTGGCCCCCCGCAGCAGGTGGCAGCTCCTAGTGCAGATCCGCCGCAGAACTTTCCGGCAAGTGGACCGCAGCAGCAGGTGGCAGCTCCGCCTAGTGCAGTTCAGCAGAACCTTCCGCCAGCAAGTGGACCGCAAGAGGTGACAGCTCCGTGTGCAGTTCCGCAGAACCTTCCGCCAGCAAGGACGCTCCTGCAGCAGCCTGGAACTCCCTCCATTTTGGAGATGGTGCAAGAGCTTGAAACGCAGATGGATCAGGAGGAGCCAATCAGTGTGAATGACACGCCCGAACCCCCGCCCCGGCTGAATCGCAGCGCTGTGTCAACACTGGCTTCGGCTGCTTCCTTTGATGACACATCAAAGGTGGCTCGAGTCTCCCAGGCAGGTTCCGTTGTTAATGTTGTCTGGAATATTCGCAAAACCTGAGTCCGTGGCCGGTCTATGTATACACCCTAAACCCTAAACACGACGTGTAGGATGTATCACCGTCGTATGGGACACATAATATAATGCATGCAGTGTGACATTTTCTTTCTGTGTGTGTTTTCTGGTGCCGACCGAAATGCGATCTGTCTCGCAGGACTTGGTTGCACCGGACACGTCAGCAGCACTGCTGGTGAAGGCACCGTCGCCGTCGCCGACTCCCGTGACGGCGAAAGCGAAAAGTGCGGCAAGGACGAAGCCGAAGGCTGCTGCTGTGAAGGACATTCACCACGTAGAGCAGTGATGGTTCGTGATATGTCAAGCCTTATGCAAAGCAGCTAATTGTGATTTTCTGCGATCTATAATAATTTGGCATGATTTTTCTTTGTATTTCTCATTCAACAGGATGAGTATGCGCTGCCGGAGCTGACCTTGCAGGAGAAGGCGATGTATGGCAACTTCTGGTCGCGGTACCGCTCGAGCAGCTCGCTGTCGTTGACCAGTGATGCGGATTCCGTCGACTCCGACATCAGCCAACCTGTGCCGAAGGGGCCGCCGGCAGTACCCCAGCCGATGCCGTTGCCGACTGTGCCGCTTCAGCAGCAGACGACAGCAGCTGCAGCAGGGCCGACGAGTGATGCCATGACGACGATGCTGGCGACGGTTCTCAGCACGGCGGTGAGCCATGGTGTTGATGCAGCGGGGCTTGCGGCCATTCAGCAGACCATGGCCAGCATTGTGGCTGCTGCAAAAGCCCCTGATGCTGCTGCTGGAGTCGAGGCCGTTGACAAGACGAAGATCATCGACTCGCAGCCGGCTTTGCCGCCAAGCCCTTTTTCGACGCCTTTGCCGGCCAGCACAGCAGCAAGCCCTTCGACGCCTTTGCCGCCGGCAAGCACAGCAAGCCCTTCGACGCCTTTGCCGCCGCCGAGCACTGCGAGCCCTTCGACGCCTTTGCCGCCACAGACCGCTGTGACGAAAGCCCCGCCGACAGCAGGACCTGCTCCTTCGACGCCTTTGCCACCGCAGACCGCTGTGACGAAAGCCCCGCCGACGGGACCTGTGGTCAACTCAAGCACCCACAGGACTGAGTACCGCTCGTTCCAACGCTTTTGCGAGAACTCACCGGGAGCAGTGGAGTTGAAGAAGGTGTGGGTGCAGGGCGGACCGCGCTTGGCAATGTTCCAGAAGTTTGTTCTGACAGGCTGTGGCCAGGCTTATATATTATTGTATATGCACTAACTATATGACGACGGGTATCGCCGTAGCCTCGTGTACTCTGTAGCTGAGATTATTAATGTACACGTTGTGTGTCTGAGAGTGTAAAGATGTATTCATCGATCCCGTCATCCCAAAGGTAACCCTGCGGCTTTGGAATGTGCCCTCCAGTTCCGCCGGCAGAGCGAGGAGGAGAGCAAAGACGAAGGTGGATCCGCATATTCCTATATTGAAGTTTTCTCATATTATAGCATATACGAAATACAGAAGATAATGTATATCCATATGTATGTATATATATATATATATATATACGTATAGCCGTGCTATATTTCTGGGAGTTTGTCGAATATGTGTGTCGTTTTTTTGGAAGGTTTCTTAGTTGGTCTATGTGATGTGGTCATGCACAGGTGAATATTATTGCTGGCGTGATATACTCGCCTTTCACGAGGGCAACGAACAGAAGGCCTTATCCTTCATTGCAAGACGCAGAGCAGAGCCCAAAGGGACCGGTTGCGTGAAGATCATGTCTTGCAGTTCAGTTAGGGTACCGTGTGCTCCATAATAGTTAGTGAAAACAGAAAGTGTCAGGACCAGTTGCGATCGGAATGATCCTGATATGGAGACATTTCTATATTACGGCCGCCAGCGACGGACCCTGACGGTTCGTACGATCGCGTCTTGGCACTTTTTCTACTGTCTCATGTCCGGATCCGGATGCTGTTGTATAGTAGTTCATGTCACGGTGCTGTTGGAAACAATGAGGACGAAATCGCAATCAGCATGGGCGTCTGCCCGAACTTCGCCACGTCCGTGGCGGCACAGCTGGACTCCATGAACGGCGCCCTGCCAGTTGCTGATGGGGCTACTTCTTCGGTGAACCCGCCAGTGCCGGCCCCCGGCAAGGCGGCTCCAAAGGGAAAAGGCAGTGCGCCTGCGCCACCCGGCACGACGACGGAAGACCCCCAGCCGCCGCCCAAGAAGGCGAAAGTTCCGAAGCCGGAGGCACACGCGTCGTGTGTACGTGATAGTCCCATGCATGCATGCACATATCCCAGCTCGATAGATAGCCTGCCTGGGCAGGGATCCGACATGGAGTTGATCTGCAGTGGAGAGAACGTTGGACTTTTCGTGAAGTCGTGGGTGGCCGCGGCGAACACGGCCCAGGGGCAAGCCGTGAAAACGTGTGCAGAGTGCCTAGGCAGGCGAACACCATGTTTCAGCGGGAAAGCCTTCTCGGTGCAAAGTTGCATCTGCTCCGAAATCTGAGGTTGGAGGTCCTCGAGAGCCAGGAGGCTTTGATGGGGAAGATTAAGGACTGTGCCGAAGGCATCGGGGCTTGTCGCAAGAAGCTCCAGCTCATGGGGACAGAGCCAGTGGCCGCCGATGTGCAATCGGCCCTGCTGGAGGCGACTTGGGCAGATGTTTCGGTTACGATGTGCAGTGTATGTGTTTGTGTGTGTGTGTGTGTGTGCAGACCTTGACCCTTGCCTCTCGGCACACTGCATGCGACACCTCCTAGGCTACCGTGTTTGTGGAGGGTTTCAAGAAGCATCTTCGAGTGGCGAATGGCTTGCTTCTTGCTTCAGATGTATATATATATAGGATGTTTTTTTGTTGGCATGTGCAGCTTATATTGTGTGTGACAGTCGATCCATGTGAAGCTTGATGTTATTCGTAAAATAGATCACGATTCTTGTTCGGCTCAGGATCGCTTCGGAGCGACGTCCCGCGAATAAGACGGCCAAGAAAGCCAAGTCGGCTGCAAAGGCTGCAGCACAGGCTTAGGTCCGGATGCAAACCGAGGCGCATATATGGTAGCTTCTGCATATGGTTGTAGCCGGTCTAGGTATGATAGGTGGGTGGGTGGGTAGCGGTTGAGTAGGAAACATAGCACAATACGTCGAATCCTAAACAGCTAGAACCCTGTAAATCGTCTTATAACGAACCGTAGGTCCTAGCTGAGCCCTGTCTGTATGTATGTGTTTTCATGGTTTCTCGTTTTCGGAGTGGCATATACATCTATATATGTATGTAGTGTTTAGCATAGTGTGGTTTGGTTGCATCAATCATTCTAATTGGGACGTGTTGGTGTTCGGGGTTCATACCGCCTGCTGATACCATCAAGGTTCCCGAATTAACCGCTATTTTGCATCCGACCCATGGAAGCCTCCTTTTCCTTTCCTTCGATCTGCTGATGGCTGGAGGGTTGCTGTGCTCAGCACTCTGCCTCTGAAAAAACCAGTGTGCTCTGAGTGTGAGCGGGGATCGGCCAGCAGTTCATCTTTTGAGAACAGCATGCGCGGCACTCTATGTTGTGTGACTAGCTGCCATCGCAGATATACTCTTGCTACCTTGTTCCGGAAGTGTTTGTAGATCCTAAACCCAAAGCTCCAAAATCCTGCGTCCTAAGTCCGAAACACCGAAACCCTGAAGTTGGCGTTCTGCATCAATGATTAGTGTGCTGTGCATCTTACAGGAGGCCGCCGCATGCTGGAGTGCCTGGGGTTTGCAGTGTACTGCAGTCCTGCCTTGAGTCACTTCCGGCCGGCAGCATCAAGTGCGATCATCCCCCAAAAGCATTGATGCGGTTTGTGTAGTCGACTTGTCATGCATGGCTTGAAGCCTGAAGCGCGTGTCCTTGAGTCTGGCATCAGTCGTCCATGAGCATATGTGTGCACGGCCATGCTTCTTATGTTCGAGGTGCCAACCCAGCCCCATGTAGAGTTTTTGTTGAGTCATGCGATGACGTTCTCTTTCATTCAACCTCTGGATCATCGGTCACCTTGTAATACTACTTGTATGATTCACTCCCCAATGCGACCATGCACAATACCACCATGCACCATGCAAGACCACCCTATGCACTTTGGTATGCAACATGCCACTATGTATCACCATGCACCACCACACCCTACACGAGCCCACCCATGCAGCCCACCCTACACGTCATCATGGCTTTCCTTTTCGTGCTGTCTGACCCCAGCCTGGGCTCCTATGCCGCTGCTGAAGAGACTGGTTCATTTGAAAAAGAGCCTGGACAGAAATCAGGCGACTGCTGGCAGTGATGGTTCTGTTGCCAGAAGACCATCTTTTGCCGAGTTTTCATTGCGGAAAAGCGCGTTGAGCAGAACACTCGGTTTTCACGTGGGCCGGGGAGCCAGCTCCGGACTTCTTCAAGAAGTGGCGTCTGCGGCCGTCGCAGAAGCAGGGGATGCAAATGTGACCCCCAGTGCCTTGTTGCACAATGGTTATAATACCTTATATCATTGCATGCCTTGGCAAATCATGCACGCAGATGCCCGGTTCCAAGGTACCAGGTGGGCTGCGAGTTTGGGCGCATCAGGACGTTGTGCGCAACACATCGAGGAGCAACTGAGCAAGGCTGTATCTTCCTCGAAGAGCGATGTCGCCGGTCTGAATTATATTAGATGTCTAAATATAAATAATATATGTATGCCGTCTAAAGAACATGTCGGAATGTATGCAAGGATATCCGAGGCTCCACTAGTATGCCCTTTGAGTTCGGTGTCCCTCATGATGAAAGATATGCGTGCTGAAGCGCGACGAGAACAAGAAGTGCGACGACAAATCAATTGTCGCTTGAGGAGGGCTGGTTTGCCGAGGAGGCGAAACCCCAAGAAGAAGAGCAAGAGGGCCCAGTCGACTGAGAATAAGTGCATGCAAACGCTGCCGGTGCTGTTGCCTCATATTCTCTTTAAGAGCATGGTTTGCTCTGGCTTGATCGCAGAGCTGATGCTTGCTGGCATTGCATGCGTGCATATGCATAGATTGGAATAGATGCTCTCGCATGTTGGTGATGTCGTGATGTTTTGAATTCTCCATCCACACTGCGCAATCAATAAGGGCGGGCACTGTCGACTGGCTGGACTGGTGGCAGAAGGCCAAGAGCGAGCCATGGGGGATGCGTTTTTCTCGCAGCATGCAGGTGTGTGTGGACTGTGTCTTGTTTGTTTTCTAGAGTGCAGTACGTGGAATGTTTCATATGTCGATCCGGCAACATATACAAGGAATCATCCGGTGCAGTCCTGGCCGGAGGAGGCCAGGCAAAAAGCGGTGGCCGTGTCGATTCACGGCGATGAGGGTACTGGGAAGAGGAGCAAAAGCATCTTGATCCTGTCGCTTTCGCCCTTGGCCATCCACCGGGGCGACTCGATGCTGCAGAAGTTCCCGTTCTGTGTGCCCTGGCCGGTGTTTTAGATTCCTCTAATGCATCTATGTGAATTCCAGACGTCGCTTATGTATGCGTGCAGCGGATGTGCACATGCACACAGTGTGTGTGAATCATGGCTGAGGTTGTGCGATCAGACAGATTTGTCTACGACAACGGCCAGAATATCACGCTTCAGGCGCTACAGCGCTACTACGCCGATTCCTTTCGGATTTGTGGCGACCCCGCCAGCGAAGGCCAACACGGATGGACCATGCACCCTGTCATATCGAAGGGAGATTGGAAGCACAAAAGGGAATGGTTGGAACAATGTAGAAGCTACGGGAACCTTGCTAGCAATGCTCCTCGTGAGCAGAACGCCGGCAGAATCTGCCCGAGATGCTTGTGCGATGGCAGCACACCTGGAAAGCATTGGGCTGACATGCGTGAGGGCTTCGATAACCAGGCAGACTTGGATGAAGCTTCGAATGATAGTAGCTAGGCGGCATGGTGCTCTAATGCAAGTGTGGTGTGGAGCTGGCTTGAGTTGTGTCGCGGGTGTCACTTATTGCACGCGCTGCTTCGTTTGTCTTAGGCGTTGGTGCAAACATCGCGTCACCAGGCTTGACTTATGTTTGGAAACTTTTAACTTTGCGTTCAGGCTCTAGACAATTACCAAGTGCGTGTCCGCCGTGCATGTTGCGCCACAAAGTGTCGTATTCGAGGATGTGGAGAATTCCTGGCTACCACCACTCCTGTGAGTATCCAGATTTGCTCCATTGCCTGTATCTGGGAACTGAGAGGGATGCCACTGCGTCTCATGTTATGGAGCTGGCGAAGTTTTCTCCGCAGTTTCAGGCTTACGAAACGTGGGATGAAAGGTTGCATCACCTGCATGTGGACTTTCAGATGTGGTGCACGGAGCACCATATCCGACCCAGCATTCTTGATGGACTGAGTCACCCAGCTGCTCGTATTTTCGGCTGCTGGAACCACTCCGTACTGACAATTCGTGCTGCATCCGCAAAATATATCTGAGGTTTGGTGAAGCTGGGAATCGATGCGGTCACATTGGAGTACCCGAAGGGGCCGGGAAAAGGATATGCAAACCGTGTCTTGTTGCTTGGCACACCAATAATTCAGCAGAGAGGGAGAGTATAGGGAGAGCGCAAAGGGAGCAAAGCACAAACATTGCATGTGCCTATATAAGGATGGCGTACTTAGCCGAACGGCTGTCTGCCTCTTGCCTTGCGATATTCTCTGCTTGACGATCTGCGGTCCACGCTTGTATGCAGCTGTGGTTTGTATAGGATTTGGGCCTAAGGAGGTTTGCCAAACGATTCCCGAGCTTCGATTGGCGGCAGTGAATGCCTGGTCGATCACAGCATTCTCGAATTTGCTGGACGCCTGCTCAATCTGGCTGTCGGATGAGCAGGCAATGCTGGCGCAGCAGAACCGTTGCTGCACCGGTGTTGCGTGTGTGTGGAGCCCTGTTGTGCAAAAACGAATTTTGTAGAAGTCTGTGATGATCCAAGGCTCGGCAGATGGTATTGCCACTCCTACCTGGCCCTGGCATCGCGATATCTCGAGATGCTGGAGCCACGGCCTCCCGTCTAAATATGTGATTACATGCAAGCATGGAGTGTGCTAACGATCAAGAATATGAGCAGAACCGCACTCAGGTATAAGATCAGGCCAAAGTTTCATCAATATCATTGCGAATGCGTTTGCAGATTGACATACAGCCGATTGAATCCCCGGTACGCCGGGTGCAATCTCGAGGAGGACTTTGTCGGCAAAGTCATGAAATGTGCCCGTGGGGCCGTGCACGCCGCTACGCTGTCGCTCCGAGTGCTGCAAAGGTGGCTCTTGCAGTATAACTGCTGGCTGGCGGGGCGGTAAAACAAGAAGCGGTTCAGTTCGATTCGTTGGGCAACTTTTGCGATTTCACATAGCTTGATATATTGCTCAGGCCCAACTATCATTTCGGGCAACATCTGAGTGAGATTTGCCACAGCTATAGGCCCAAATATCATTTCGCAGGGGCGCCCTATATATAGCTGCGTGAGTGCATGTGCAACAATTTTGCATAGCTTGATCTACGCGATGCCGCCCAAATAACATTTCGGGCAACATCTGTTGGCGCATTGGCTTGCCACTCATGCATGAGCGTGCATGGATGCCGGTAAATATAGTGGCTTGCGAGCAGTCGTGTCTGCGCTGGGGTGGGCTGGGCAATTTCAGATTTCGTGACAACCTAAAAACTTAAACCGCCAACTCCAAATATTATATATGTACATATATATATATATGTACATATATAATATTTGGAGTTGGCGGTTTAAGTTTTTAGGGTTTCGGGTTTAGGCCTTCGCGTTTGGGGTTTGGGGTTTAGGGGTTGGTTTGAGTCTTCGGAATCTAGGCCTGCATATTCTCGCTGGAGTCTTCAGATATCATATATTTGGCCTCACATACTGTAGGGTCGGGGGTTTAAGCTATTGAGAAATTGGGCTTGGGGCTTAGGGCCTGCTTTTGCTCGGGGTACATGTGGGTACAAGATGTTTCGGATTTAGGGTCTGCGGGGCTTGGCATTTGATGTTTGGGGTTTGGGGTTGGAGGGTGAGGCTTTTCAGTTTGTCAGGCTTCCTCGGGTTTCGTTGATACGTTTAATTGTTTGCGTGTAGGCTTATAGTACAGCGGAATAATAGGGTTTGGGGTTTACTTCGGCCCGTGTTTGTGGGTTGGGTGCTTTGCTGGCGTTTATTGGCTTGATGATAGCCAGGGTTTATGGTGTAGCCGCGGTCTGATGGGTTAGGCCCCGCGGGGTGTGTAGGTTTCTAAGGGTTCGCGGTGGCTCCGCGCGGGGTGTGTAGTTTTCAGGGCTCGCACGGTGGCTAAATTATTTATCTGGGGTTCAACTTTGCTGTGGCTTCCGGAGTAAAGAACGTACTGTTTGTCTACGTACGTGTCACATAACTGCGATGGCCGAACAAATATCGCAGCTACTTTCCCCTGATGCAGCCTTTGTTTGTCCTGACTGCGGTTGCCACAATCTATACGGAATTACTTATTAGGACGTATCTACGTGCTTGACAACGCAATCGTGACTGATGTCATCCGATGCTTACGAAGCTTGGGCATTTCACGCGACATGTTTGCTGCATTCTGTGCGAAAGTGAGGAGAGAAGGAAGGGAAAGGTCTTTTTCAGGGTTTTGGGGTTCTTCTAAACGCTACACAACACATGTTTGCTTACAAAATACATACACATACTATATAATGCACACATGTATCTCTCCGTTTTTGCTTGAAATCCGCCAGAACTGTTTTGTTTTTCATTTTTTTTGTTTTTTGGCTCAAGTGGCTGCCTTCCATCACTCCCGGCTCAGGTCCCCCAACACGCAAGCCTCCGAAAGCACAAAAAACAGCGTGACGCTGGCCTGTCCTTAGAAAAAAAATGTACTTAAGTACAAATTTCCCAAAGGACAGGCGTGCAGGGGTCAGCTCTCAGCCCCATGTGCTCCGCGGGGAAGCGGCGCAGTGGGTTGATGACCGGCTTGAGGAGGAGGTCCAGAGAGGGCAGCTTGTGCGAGGCCCTTCGGCCTGGGGTTCGGCCCCTTTCCCTACGAAGGAGATGCCTTCCCACAAGCGGGCGAGGAAACGCCGCTTGGTGGTAGATTACCGCAGGGTAAACGCCAGGGTGAAGAGATCCACTTACTACTGCCGGCGGAGCACGGATGTGCTCGCTGCAGCGGTAGGATCAGTCTGGTATAGCTTCGTTGATGCGGTTTCCGGGTTCAATCAGATCCGCAACACGAAGCGTGCCAGGGAGGTTCTTGCCATTGTTGCGCGTAGCGGTAAGTACCTCCCTATTGGGCTTACCTTCGGGCCTGTCAATGGTCCCGACGATTTTAACTACGTCGTGGACCGCGCGTATGCGCCGGGTCGCAATCGAAGGCTTAGGTTCACTAAGGAATGGGTGGCCTATGTCGACGACCTGACGGTTCGTACAGGTAGGGTCGTTGACGGCCGTTTCCTCACGGATGCGGAGGCAGAGGAGGAGATAAGGACGGCGTGCCGGAAGGGCAGCCGCTCCGCGCCTCAGACCGCCGCTTCCGCCCTTGAAGCCTTAGGCGCTCGAGGCCGCGACGGCTCGAGCTCCAGTCCGCCTGACGCGGACCGGAAGGTCGCGCCTAAAGCAAAAGCAAAACACGATGAATCCCTAACGGACACTAACCACCCCACAAGAGCCCTATACCCTAACTCGCTTGTGTTCGTCTTGACCGCTTGTGTCTTGACCGCGGGGTCTAGGTTAGGGTTCGGGGTCTTAGTGTGCCGCGTCGGGGGGGTTCGGGGGGGAACGTGGGGGGCAGCTCGGACGCAGGCCTGTACGCCCGTGGGTCGCTACCTCCTTTCTATGCTACTACTCGTTGCGTGCGTGCTGCAGCAAGGGTGTAGTGAGGTAGTCCAGGGTGTAGGTCGTGCTGAGTGTGAGCCCTACCCCCTCTCTCTGTGCAGCCCCCTTGAACCCCCTGCCTTTCAGGACATGGCCGCGCAGCGTGGGCTCAAGACGAGTAGCCCAGTAGCTTGCGACGGGCCGCGCGGGCCCTTGCCATCGGCTTCTTGCGCCTCGCGGTGTGCTTTGGCACACGTGGGCCGGGAGGTCGCGTGTACCCCTCTTTCCTTCGCTGCCGGTGGGTCCTCCGTGGACCGGCTGGTCGCGGAGCCACTCCCACTTTTTCCTCCGTGTGCCGGGCCCCTCGTGGGCCAGGGAGCCGCGAGGGGCGCCATGGGAGGTGGCCGCAGACGCGGGAACGAAGGGAAAGGCGGTCGTGATAGCAACTCACGATGGCAGCCGTGGGTGTGGCTAGAGAACCCCGCGGTTTGCCAGAGGGCGCTTACGCAGGCCCTCCGCCACGGCAAATTCGGCCTGCAGGGCCATCTCGGCGAAGGGGGCTGGATTAGCGTATCCGCCTTAGCCGAGAAGCTCCAGATCACTTCGTCCGCGATCGAGGCAGGTGCGGCGAGTGATCTGGAAAACGCGGCTGGCGGTCGGGAGAAGCAGCGGCTGGAGCTGGTCGATGGCCGGATCCGGGCTCTCCAGGGACACGGCCGTGGGTCAGGATTGACCGCGGGCACCGTGTATGGAGACGGCCTCGATGAGGCCGGCATGAGGGAGCTCTCGGTAGAGTACGGAGGCTCCACCCTCTGTCATGGCACAGAGGTGTTTCATGCGCGGCGGATCGGCCGCGACGGCCTCCTCCCGGGAGGCGGAAACGGCCCGCGCCTGACTGTCCATTGGGTGATCGGGCCCGGGTACCCAAGACAGCGGGACAGTACGTCGGGCTTTAGAAAGAACTCGACCTGTCTTGTGGTCTCGAACCTCGAGCTCCTAAGGGCTTCCGGGGTGCCCGTCTGGAGAGGGACAGACGGATGTGTTCTGACAGGGCGTGTCCCTCCAGAATGCATCCTCCGAATCCTCACGGTGCAACCCGGCTGTGAAGTCTTCGACCTCTCGCTTGCAGAGCGTCAGGGTAACACCCTGCGGTGGGTCGATGATGCGGAGCCCGGGAGCGGAGTCCGCAGAGAGCAGTCGGCGCCGCCTGGCGGAGCCGGCCCGGTCAACTACTATATCGGGGACGAGGACTCGTCTTCCGAGCTGGAAGTTGAGGTGCGGGCCAAGAGCTCGGCAATGCCGGCGGGACCCCCGCCTGGACCACCTAAGGAGGGTGGTCCCCGTGGGATGCCCTCTGCGCTGCATCGGTCCAGGACGGTCGATGATAGGCCGCCGCCAGGGCGGGAAGGCAAACTAAAGCCTACCCCCAAGGTGGCCCCAGAGGGAGCGCCTTCGGCAGGGGAACAGGAGCGGGGAAGATCACACCGCCCCCCTCAAAAGGTGCCTCCCGAAGCACCGCCTGCGGACACGATCCGCTACAAGACGCCGCCCAGGGCCCGGGATGAGCTGCCTGAGGATCCTCAGGCCGCGCCCGGTGACCCTGAGGGTGCCGGTGCAGCGCCTGGGGATCAGCCGATGGAGGCGGACCGTACGCTTACTCCAGCGGATTTGTTCCACCCGAAGAACTTCAGCAAGAAGGCGAACCCGAAGCCGCCGCCGAAGAGGCCAGCCGTTCCGGAAGGAATGGTCACGGTGAAGCCTGGCCCGACGCCGAAAGGGGTCAGGCCTCCACCGCCGTTCCTGATCATGGAAACCGAGAGGGCCGAGGAGTTCTTGAGCACCAGGCCTGGATGGTTGCTGGGTGGGCCGGCTGAGCCGCCCATCGCGCGATCTCCTCCTCCGCCACCTGCTGCGAGGAACCGGTCGGAAAGGCCCTTGCCTCATGGAGGGCTGGGGCCCGGGCCTTACCAAGGCCCTATCCGGCCTAAGCTTGGTGGGCCTCCGCTCAAGGCCGCTCCGAAGGGGGCCGTTCCTAGTGCTGAAGCCCCTTCTGCGAGCTCGGCCTCCACGGGAGGCCCAGAGGGCTCCCGAGAAGGAGGTACGGCCGTCCCAGAGGAGACCGAGGAGGAACGGGCCAAGACTGAGGCCATCCTCCGCGGGATCGACGATTTCATGGCATCCGTGGAGCGTCGGTCGGCAAGC